TGTCACGCCCGTACCGGGGACCGGCAGCGGGATCGCAACCCTCGGTGTCACGCCCGTACCGGGGACCGGCAGCGGGATCGCAACCCTCGGTGTCACGCCCGTACCGGGGACCGGCAGCGGGATCGCAACCCTCGGTGTCACGCCCGTACCGGGGACCGGCAGCGGGATCGCAACCCTCGGTGTCACGCCCGTACCGGGGACCGGCAGCGGGATCGCAACCCTCGGTGTCACGCCCGTACCGGGGACCGGCAGCGGGATCGCAACCCTCGGTGTCACGCCCGTACCGGGGACCGGCAGCGGGATCGCAACCCTCGGTGTCACGCCCGTACCGGGGACCGGCAGCGGGATCGCAACCCTCGGTGTCACGCCCGTACCGGGGACCGGCAGCGGGATCGCAACCCTCGGTGTCACGCCCGTACCGGGGACCGGCAGCGGGATCGCAACCCTCGGTGTCACGCCCGTACCGGGGACCGGCAGCGGGATCGCAACCCTCGGTGTCACGCCCGTACCGGGGACCGGCAGCGGGATCGCAACCCTCGGTGTCACGCCCGTACCGGGGACCGGCAGCGGGATCGCAACCCTCGGTGTCACGCCCGTACCGGGGACCGGCAGCGGGATCGCAACCCTCGGTGTCACGCCCGTACCGGGGACCGGCAGCGGGATCGCAACCCTCGGTGTCACGCCCGTACCGGGGACCGGCAGCGGGATCGCAACCCTCGGTGTCACGCCCGTACCGGGGACCGGCAGCGGGATCGCAACCCTCGGTGTCACGCCCGTACCGGGGACCGGCAGCGGGATCGCAACCCTCGGTGTCACGCCCGTACCGGGGACCGGCAGCGGGATCGCAACCCTCGGTGTCACGCCCGTACCGGGGACCGGCAGCGGGATCGCAACCCTCGGTGTCACGCCCGTACCGGGGACCGGCAGCGGGATCGCAACCCTCGGTGTCACGCCCGTACCGGGGACCGGCAGCGGGATCGCAACCCTCGGTGTCACGCCCGTACCGGGGACCGGCAGCGGGATCGCAACCCTCGGTGTCACGCCCGTACCGGGGACCGGCAGCGGGATCGCAACCCTCGGTGTCACGCCCGTACCGGGGACCGGCAGCGGGATCGCAACCCTCGGTGTCACGCCCGTACCGGGGACCGGCAGCGGGATCGCAACCCTCGGTGTCACGCCCGTACCGGGGACCGGCAGCGGGATCGCAACCCTCGGTGTCACGCCCGTACCGGGGACCGGCAGCGGGATCGCAACCCTCGGTGTCACGCCCGTACCGGGGACCGGCAGCGGGATCGCAACCCTCGGTGTTGCGCCCGCTCCGCGCTCAGCCAGTGAGCGGGAACCGGTCTCCACATGGGATCCGAACCCTCGGCGGGAGCGCCACCACGCTCCCAAGCGGCGCCCTATCCAGTGTGCCACCAGGCCGGCCCTGGATCTCAATTTTATTATTTTTTTAAAAACAGTATTCTTATTTGAATATGCTCATTCTGTGAAGCCTTTCAGATCAGTCACCCTGAGAGGGAAAGGACTATGTCCTCTTCACTGGCATAACCCCAGCACCTATCAGAATGCCTGAAATATGACAGGTTCCCAATAAATATTTGTAGAGTGAATGAGTGGACCAGTCCAGCCCAGATTGATCTCTCTTTCCTTGGGTTTTTATAGTTTATTACAGGTATTTGGCAGTCATCTTATGTGGAGTTTTAATAATCTGTTTTTATTGTTTAAAAATTTTTATTGTTGAACTTTGGGTTTATATTTCATTACAGTATACTTCCTCTGAAGGTAAAGAATAAGTTTGAATTTACTTCATATGAGGCAGATATGAAATCTCCCCTTTTTACAAGGGAGAGAGGTTCAGAGAAGTCAAATATCTTGCCTGAGGTCACAGAGATGAGATTTTTTTCTGGGTGGGTGGGGACGGGGGCAGAGAGAGCCAGATGATGAAAGCTGAGCTTCAGGGACCAGTCTATAAAATGCTTTAATTTCCTCAACATCATTTCCTCAGTGCCTTCTGTGTATTAGGGCAGTACGCTAGCCATTGGGGAAACACACATGAATATAACAGACAAAACTCCCTGCCCTCTGAAGCTTGAATTCTGGTAGAGGAAGACAGATAATAAATACAGTATGGATTGAAAGGAGCAGAGGTCAGAGGCCAGAGATATTAAGAGGCTATTTGTGATGTCCAAGAAACTGGTAAGGAGAGCCAGAACCCGGGAGTGACTGAGGGCATGGAAGAATGCACTGGATAGGAGAGCATGTTGTTGTAGAAACTAGGGTTTGGTTTTGATTTTTAACTACCGTAAATGTGAAATTTCTTAACGAGAATTAGGGGACCAACAGGGAGTTGCAGTCTTTTGCTATTGCGAGGGCCTTAAAAATGTCACCTACTGCCACCTTTTTTCATATTTTAATACCAAAAAAGTAAGAGGCATGTAATCCTTGACAATTGTTACCCAAAAAGACAGTTGTAAACCTTCTAATGACATGTATCTATGTATATACACATACAGGCATGTTACTATACATATGTGTATATATCTTGTGAGCATATCACACCACCTCCATCTTCTCATTTTACTGTGGACTGAGTAAAACTAGCTTGGCAGTAGATTAAATGCGGGGAGCAAAGGAGAAAAAAAGTCAAAGCCGAATATGAAATTTCTATGTGGATTACTCATATGATGAGGATGCCATTTATGGAAAAAAAAGATGTACTTGAGGAAGAAAGATGGTTTGGGGGAAAATAGTGTGTTCTATGTATATATAAAAACACAGAGCAACCATTGCATGGAATTGGAGTACTGAAGGCTGCCTGGAGGTGGTCTGCTTCAGCTCCCTTGATTTACAGGTGAGGATATTGAGGCTCAGAGAGAGTAAATGATTTGTTCGAGGTCATTCCAGGTATAAGTGGTAGAATTGTTATTACTATAATGATGTATACATGATATGTTTAATACACTACTCAACAGTACAACTGTGAAATGAACTGGACTGAATGTTGTATTTCATGGAGCTCACATAGGTATTCTTTTACTGGTTAAACGTCTGAGGGTTCCCCCCCTCTTACATGCAGGCATTGGATTGTGTGCTGGGGAGACCCAGGTGAGAAGACATGATCCTTGCCTTTAAGGAGTTTAGAGTCTTGTGTAAATAAAGAAAGAAATAACCATCTACTGTGATAATTGCCCCAGTGGAGATATACGCATATGAAGTGGTTAGGGGGCATTGCAGAAGGAGGGCTCAAGCCTGCCTGGCTTCAGCAGGAAAGGTTTTATTCAGAAGGTAGCTTTGAGCTATCATTTGAAGCATATGTAGGAATTTCCCAGGAAACATAGTGAGATGCGTCTTTACAAGCATAGGGAAGAAGTTGAGCAAATGCCTAGAGGCCAGAGAGAGCTAACATGTCTTTGAAACTGTATGTGCTTAAGTATTGCTGGAGCTTAAACTCCAAAGGGTTGCTGGTTGGTGGGGTTGGGGGCATGACTGTGGCTGGATAGGTAGGTAGTACCTGCTACACCATATGAAAGAATGTTAACTTCATCCTGTAATTGATTATTGAGGATTTTTGTGCAGAAGAGTGACATGATTACATTTTCCTATTGGAACAATCTTTCAAAGTAGTATAGAGGATAGGTTGGGGTCTGAGGGGTGGGTTTGGAAGTGAGGATGAGACTAGAGTCAGGGAAATCTATAAGGAGGCTGTTGTAATGGTCTGGGGATGAGGGCTTGTAATTTTGTGGAATAAACATAGGTATAGAGTCAGATCCTGCCTCTGCTTCTTCCTACCCCTGTGGCCTCTGTGACTTACTTTCTCTGAACCTCTCCTCATCTGTAAGTTGGGGGAATTAATATCTGCCTCATAGGATCATATGTGGAATACACAAAATAATGTAAGGAGAGAATTTAGTACAATACCTGGCATGTCATGTACAATTTAAAAATACTTCTCATGATTGTTTTGTGGTTATTAATAATAAACCTAGAGGTTGGCATGGGAATAAAGAATACGAATGGCAGAGATGTTTGGGAGATAGAACTGATAGGCAGTAACTGACTGGATGTTGGGGTTAAGGGAGAAGAAGAAATTTTGGAAAACTCCTGGTTTTCTGGCTTGATAAAAAGTAGAAAAGCCAGGGATATGGGGGCTGGGGGGAGAGGAAGACATGCTGAGTTGGAAGGACAGTTGTCGATGTACGGGTTGTGAGTCGGTAGCTGAAGGCGAGGGGTGGACCTGGTGATGCAGGGAAACTGCTGAGGGAGAGTGAAGAGCGCTCAGGACAGAGCTGTGGGAATCACCAGAACTGGAGGGGTAGGTGGACAAGGGGGAGCCAGAGGAGTGTACAGAGAGGCCGGAGCCAGAACCAGGAGAGCGTTTCAAGAAGACGGTGATCAACCATGTCAATGCTTCAGGAAGGTCAGGTGCGAGACGTGAGAGCTGGGAAATTCGCATTGGATTTGGTTACTAATGGCAGCAGCGGGGAGGCAGCGGACGGAGTCTTTGGAAAGCAGAGGCAGCAGGTGTAGGCTGTGTGCTGAAGACAGGAAAGGAGAAGGAAAAGGGACATAAGTGTATGGGAGGGCCAAGAAGAGATGGTTTCTTTCTGTTTGGTTTTTGGTTTTGCTTGTATTTTTTCTAAGATGGAAAAGACTTGGTTATGTTCATGTGGTGAGGAGAAGGGGCGAATGGGGAGGTTAAAGGGCAGGGAGGGGTTGAAGGTAGAGCAAAGTCTAGGAGGAAGCTGGGGGAGAGGGAATGAAGAGTTGTAGAGTCACTATGAATTGGAGAAGCACTTCCAGGAGACATTGCAGGGTGAACAGAGATGATGGTGCATTCGAAATCTTGCCTTTAAATGGTAGTGTAGTTAGACATACTTACAGACATATATATCCCCTGTGAAACAGCCTGATTTCTTTTTCCCTATGTTTATCTTTTAGTTGATGATCCTCTTTGTAACTTCCACTCCCCTAACTTCCTGAGGACCTCAGAGGTGGAAATGAGAGGTTCCGAGGATGCGGCAGCTGGAACAGTATTACAGCGGCTGATCCAGGAACAACTGCGGTATGGCACCCCGACCGAGAACATGAACTTGCTGGCCATTCAGCACCAGGCCACAGGGAGCGCAGGACCAGCCCACCCTACAAACAACTTTTCTTCCACGGAAAACCTCACTCAAGAAGACCCACAAATGGTCTACCAGTCGGCACGCCAGGAACCGCAGGGTCAAGAACATCAGGTGGACAATACGGTGATGGAGAAACAGGTCCGGTCCACGCAGCCTCAGCAGAACAATGAGGACCTGCCCACGTACGAGGAGGCCAAAGCCCAGTCGCAGTTCTTCAGGGGGCAGCAGCAGCAGCAGCAGCAGCAGCAGCAGGGAGCTGTGGGCCATGGTTACTACATGGCTGGAGGCACCAGCCAGAAGGCCCGGACTGAGGGGAGGCCCACGGTGAACCGTGCCAACAGCGGACAGGCGCATAAGGACGAGGCACTGAAAGAACTGAAGCAGGGCCACGTCCGCTCGCTCAGCGAGAGGATCATGCAGCTGTCACTGGAGAGGAATGGCGCTAAGCAACACCTCCCTGGCTCAGGGAATGGAAAGGGGTTCAAGGCGGGAGGGGGACCCTCCCCAGCCCAGCCTGCAGGCAAAGTGCTGGACCCTCGAGGTCCTCCACCTGAGTACCCCTTCAAGGCCAAGCAAATGATGTCCCCAGTCAGCAAGACCCAGGACCATGGACTTTTCTACAGTGACCAGCACCCTGGGATGCTCCATGAGATGGTCAAGCCTTACCCCGCTCCTCAGCCTGCCAGAACAGAAGTGGCTGTCCTGAGGTACCAGCCACCCCCGGAGTATGGGGTAACGAGGTGATTATCAAGCCTAGAGGTTTAACTCAGTTTTTCAAAATTCAGCAATCGATGTTTTTAGCACTTATTATTTTCAAGGCATGTTAGGTTTTTCTCATCTGTTTTTTTTTCTTGTGCATAATATTTAATAAGCTGCTTTTTAGCCAAAATATGTAGGCTGAAACAGAGGAGAGGGCAACTGGGGAATTTCTCCAAACATCACAGAGGGCAGTTGGGGATTTAAGAGTTGAGGGGAGGAGCCTCGGTTGTTAGCTGTCCTTGGGAGCTCTGCTTAGTGGCCTGGCTGAGTAGCAATTTTCCTGGCTGGCTTTGTGGAGAGTGTCCAAACTCCTGGAACATATTATTACCAAGGGGTTTTATAGAGTCTTTCTTCATTGTAGATTTTAAAGGAAAATGTATTCTGAACACTAGAATGGAGGAATTAAAGGGACCATAGAAGTCACATATTCCTACCCCTCATTCAACAGAGGAAAACTAATTAATTAATTAAATTTCCACAGTACACAGCTCTGAGGCCCCTGGGGGCTAGACTCAAGTATTCTTACCATCGGTCTTTTCACTCCCTGTCGTAATACCTCTTACAGACTACAGATGTGCTCTTCCAGTTGATTGATGGATTCAGCAACACTAACTGAGTGTATATTCTCTGCGGCCCAGTGCCAGGTTCAGAGATAAAGATATGTATTGTCCCTGCCCTCCAGGACTTCATAGCATCATCTTGGGGGAAACCAGCATCTGAACAGATCAGTGCCATTCCGTACGCTGTTTTACAATGGAACTAATACCTCTTACAGACTACAGATGTGCTCTTCCAGTTGATTGATGGATTCAGCAACACTGAGTGTATATTCTCTGCGGCCCAGTGCCAGGTTCAGAGATAAAGATATGTATTGTCCCTGCCCTCCAGGACTTCATAGCATCGTCTTGGGGGAAACCAGCATCTGAACAGATCAGTGCCATTCCGTACGCTGTTTTACAATGGAAGTATGTAGGCAGTGCTAGAGGAAGAGACAGGACTGGAGAGACTGGGGAGAGCTTCCCAGAGGAGGTGGCATTTGAGTTGTAGGGTAGAGGTGGAGTAGCAGGATGTACTTTGCAGAGCAAATGCCATTTCTACAGACTAAAAGGTCAAGAGGATGAGTCTGTAATGAGCTGCAATGATATGCCCCCTGGTGGGCGTGGGTGTGGTATGAAGAGGCAGATGTGTTTGGACAGGGAAGCTGAGACCAGCCAGAGAAGGTCTCTGAGTGTCGTACTAAGGAGTTTAGAATTTATCCGCAAGCAGCAGGGAAAGCAGTGTTTTCAAGTAGGGATGGCATGTTGATTTTTAACAGCCGACTTTAATGGCAGTGCAGGATGAATTAGAGGAAAGGGATGCTGGAGGCCCTGAGGATCAGCAGGGACAGTTTCGTAGTATAAATAAGAATTGGTGAGGGTGGCCGAGGCTTGAAGCAGTGGGAGTGGAGGAGCGCTGTTTGTTAAGAGAGGTAAGGAAATAAAGTTGACAGGATTTAGTGAGTGGTTAGATACGAAAGTTGAGGAACAGGGCAGCTGGAAATAAGGCAATTGGAAATCAAGCTCTCAGGAGAGAAATCAAGTGTGAAGATAAAAATTTGGGAGTAACCAGTGTGTAGATGTTGCTGAGCTTGTGTATGAAGAGCATGCAGCATGAGAAGACAAACAGCCACTGCCTATCATTGGGTATGTCATTCTCATCAAGGGCTTTATTTATGTTTCTAAATCAAATGAGCTGGGGTTTCCCCATGCGACCCCAGCGGCTGTGTGCAGGACATACTTTGGCCGTATATCTTCTGAAAGGGAGCAACTGGAGCTTGGCAGAGAGAGACCTGACTGATCTGCCACTTACCTCCCAGCTGCTGACACCTTTCCCCTCATTGGGCTGGGAATGCCAGCTTTGAAGCAGTATAACCAACCTTTAGGCCTCAGTCAGGCAGTAGGAACTCATTCTTCCTAAGGTGGGCATAACCTGACTCCACTGGGGAATCCAGGGTAGGGCCGAGGAGGCTCTTCCTTCCCTTTTATAGTTCCTTATGTCAAAGGAGAAATTTTATCTCAAAAACTATCAAATCTCTGGTATTTGCATCACACTGATTTACTGCTTGTCTAAAATAATCCGTGATTCCAGAACCACACAAGAGTTTGGTTTATGGTATTTCACATGTTTTCCTGAACATTTAACTCAGCCTCTAGAGCTTGGTAGAGGGTGAAAATATCCCCACGTGAAGTCTCCTTCCTCTTCTTTGGCTTTACTATTTTGTGCAATGGCAATGCATAAAATGGATCACTTTGCTTTTTGTCATTTGGCAACAGGTGTGATAAGAGGTGGGAGAAATGGTCAGGGGAGGAGGGAAGTACTTCTTGGAGGTGTATCCAGTTATTTGTGGAAAGTGTCATTTGTCTGAAAGTTATGACGTTAGGAAGAAGAAGAAACGTATGAGGTTTTTGAGCAGGTTACCAGGCTTGGCAGCTGGGTTGACATGACACATGAAAATGTCTCAGAGGACGTAACAGACAGACCATTGAGGCTGGGCCCCGGAGCTACAAGGCCCCTTTGTGAGCCCTGCTGTGGCTAGCCAGCATGGCTCCAGCAGTGCAGCCCTTGGCTGACCGGGTAAACAGAGTTGCACCCACACCAGCCCTGCTTCAGACATATTTAACGTAGCCTGAACTCTGAGGGATGGACCTGAACTCAGCAGTGTGTGATGTTCAACTTATCTTCGACCCAGGAAACAAGCAGGGCTCCTTTTAATTTCATTGACACATTCCCTTGTTAAAGGGTTATCTGTTTGTTGTTAATAGAGATGGCCTGAGAAGCCGCAGGCTGTGTGGTACATGCACAGCATAGCAGAGACTCCTAGACCAGAAGGAGAGGCCTGTGACTGAGATCACGGAGTCCATCTCCCTGCATGGTGCTGCAGACGTGGACTCGGTGTGTAATGAGCATTCAGTGGTTTGGTCCAACCATTATGTTGTTGACACTTCAGTCCTTTTTCCTAGAGCCAGAAAGGTGTGAAGAGACGACTGATAGAACTTATGAGAAGAATAAGAATTTGGATTTCTGGCCTTCATTCCTGACTCACCATAGCTTATAAATTCTCTCACCTGCTCTGATGAGCCGAAGGTGGAGATGTCTGGTAAATGATTGTAAAACACTGTAGACTCCTTTTGTGGGAATCCCCTTGGAGATGCCACTAGTCAAGTCTGGTTGACTTGCACTCCCTCAGCCCTTGCTGTGGGTGAGCTAGTGTGGCGAGAGACAGGAGGTGGGAGAAACAGGGACCTCTCAGGATCATAAGCTGGCCGTGGATAAAGCTTCATTATGTTTTTCCCTCAACATGAGAGTGGAAATGGATAGGAATGAGGACAAGATGGGAACTAGACAGGTTGTTACTATGGAGGATTGTGCTCTCCCTTTAAAAAAAAAAAAAAAAGCAGCAATTGAGTATTAATTCTGACTCACACTGTGGAAATAGAACACTTCCAGAAGTAGTGACTTGGCTTATGCAATCTGTGTTCTTAATGGAAATGGATGCATGAATAAATACCTGTGGACGATCTGATTTTTATCTAAGCAGTTTGGAGTACATTAGTCAAGATTCATGTTTGTTTTCCAAAGAAATCTGTCCAAATTTTTAAAAATTTGGAAACTAGAGATGCTAAAACATTACTTACAATATCTTACTTTCGTAATACAAGCTTTGTCATTTTTCCTGTACAAATTAATTTTTTCACATTATAATCATAAATTATATTCAGTTTAGTGTCTTAGCTTTTTTAAAATAGCATTGTATCACAATCTTTTTTCCACAATCCTTCATTATTTTTATAACCATACTTTTTATTACTGTATAATATTTCATAAAGTACATAATTTATACCATTTTCCTTATAAATAATATAGTGAACATTATCATGCATATTAAATTTTTCATATTTTGGCTTATTGCTTTAGGAATCATTATTTAGAAATGAAATTATTGGGTAAATTACAATGATAATGATATTTAATCACTTCTGATACTGGATAACTTCGTAAAAATATTGTAATGGCTGTTTTACTGCACTTTGACAAACATTAGTCATGATAATTATGAAAATTTTGCTAATTTAATAGGCAAATAGTGTTAACTCCCTATTTTAATTTGCAATTACTAGCTAGGTTAATTTTGGGGGGAGGAGTTATGTTTTATTAGTTTGATTTATTTGATCTCAAAAATTGGTTCTTTATGCTTTTTGTTCATAGGATTTATATATTTTATGAATTCAGCCTAAGCCAAACCTATTCTCTCTAACACTTGCTCTAATTTTCGTTTTCTAGAATTCCATCTCCACTCTGAGCTGGTAATAGTGGAGAGGCAGTGGTGGTAGTGGTGGTAGCAGTAGAACTAAACCTTCACCTAGTGCTTCCTCTGTGCCGGGCCCTTCGTGTGGGTTATCTTCCTTAATCTTTACAATTCTAAGGGTACTAGTAATATGCCCACTTTTACATGTGAAACAACTTAGAGAGAAGTTAAAGTAACTTGGTCATGGCAACCAGCTAGGAAGTGCAGGAACCATGGTGCACACCTGGATCTCTTTGCCGCACACCACACCTCCCATGACGGTAAACACCCAGCTACTGTCTGTTGTCGTGGAGGCACCAATTTAAGTTTTAACTTGGTATCACTTATTTGGTGAATTTCTTTTTCTTTTCTTTTTTTTTTTGTCCTTTTTTGAGACCGGCCGCACCGCGCTCAACCAGTGAGCGCTGTGAGCGCACTGGTCATCCCTATATAGGATCCGAACCCACGGCGGGAGCGCTGCTGCGCTCCCAGCGCCGCACTCTCCCGAGTGCGTCACGGGCTCAGCCCATTTGGTGAATTTCTAATCAGATGTATAGAGTATATCACATGTGATGTCCAGCCCATACTGTGCCCACCTGTTTTTTTAGGAGGACTAGAATACTGATTTAAGTATCCCAGACTTTAGGAGGAAAGTCT